CCGGTCTATCTCTATAATGTTATTCTTTCTTAAGCAAATGGCAATTGGAAGAGGTGAGTCTGCCTTTATGTGTCTACATGGGTACAAAGCTGTCCTTCAAAAACCATATATACAAAGAGAGGCACAGCAGGATTCTCTGTCCACAGCATATACAGGAGTGAATTTGTATGTTCTTTTGTTTTGTTTTGTTTTTTTAACAACTAGCAGCTTATATACCTAGATTTCTTATCTGCCATAGTACAAATCATCAGTCTATTAACTAGAGTCCAAAATAATGGAGATACAGCAGTTTGAAATGTTTGTTTTAGCATTTATTTATCAGACTATTCTTAACTAATTCCTTGGTCTGTTTTTGGAAACAGGAGGTGTCATGGAAAAAGAAAGGACACATCACAAATTAAATGTCTTGTTTGTTTACTAAATGGCACCACTCATTCTTTGTCTCTGCATAAGGTAATAGAACATTTACATTTTCCTGACTTCATTTTGGAGACCTCTCACTTAAAGTCATAAGCAACATATTTGCCTGTTCAACTCTTCAAGGTGGTGTTTGCAAAACAAATTTTAAAAATTTCTCTTCACACTTAATACATTTTTTCAAAGGTAAAGGAATAAGAGTATGAGAAAAAAATTAATTGTAGAATTAATTGTAGTGCTTTAAAGCAAGTTTTCACAAGTGGAACCAGCTCTTTACATGCTTACTTTCAGCTAAACCTAACAAATAACAATTTTAAATGGTAAACTTATTTTTTACTATGCAAAACCCATCCTACACTTTCATATCCTGCATCTTATTTTGTTACATTTTTATTTTGTGGTTAATTTTCTAGTTTAATTTATTTAATAATATTAAAATCATTTAACTTCTGATAACCTAACTAAATCTACATCTTACAGCGTTACCATGGTCTGCCCAGTTATATACATGCTTTCATGATCACCTTCTCTATTACCTTATGAACTACATACACTAGTTAAATAATCAACATTTATAGATGGATGAATAATTCGAGTTTTGAAATAAAGATTAGATAGCTAGAAAAACTCGTATTTACATCCTTCCCTGTCGGGCTTAAACAACTGAACTTTGATTTTCACTTTCGAAACTTCAAGAAGCACGTTGACAGCCCCTCTGACTTCATCTAGCAGCATAACCTCACAGCCCTTTTAAAGGTCTGTCTTCGGCCCTGGGAGTATTCATGACCTTCATGCCATGTCCCGCCTTTACAAGCTATTAACACACATTATACCACTTAGAAGAATACTCTTTCTTCCCTCAAGCTACAGATAATCAGTCATTCTTAGTGATATACTAAGAAAGAACCCCATATTTTTACTTTGTACCTTTTAATATGATTTGAGTATTGCATTTTTTAATGCTATTTCAGGATTATTACTTGAGAAAGAACTCTCATCCTAACCTGTGCTACTAATAGTTGGAAAACCAATTGCTGCTCAGCACTCCAAGCATCTCTGCGTGGAACAGGATGCTTTGTGGTTCTGGGTCTACCCTGGTTTAGAGAACATCTTTGCTCACCTGTCTAAGAACTACTTCTTCAAACAAACTTATAATTATACAGTTTTTTCATGCTTGAAAATAGGATCCCCCAAGATAGGTATAGACTACAAAATTGGGTGATTTAAAAAATATAGTTTGTGCAATTTTAATATTAATTTTCCTCAAATTTACTTAATTGATTCTGCTCATTTGCACTGATACATTTAGCCTCTGGAACATGATATTCCAATGCACTTGTCAGGCTTTAATTGGCATTTTAAAATTTCACTCCACTGGGTTGAACAGGTTATGCTTTGGAACAAATGGGATTTTTTTTCTCTTTCTCATTCACTCTGAAATATGTTTTGGGGGGACAAAAATAAAACAAAAGAGAAACCCTAAAACAACTGAAATCAACTATATACTACAGAAGTCATTTAGAAGGAACAATAAAGTGGAGCTCTTGTGAAACATTTTGGGTCATTTTGGATTATACTCGCACCTACCTCGTTATTAGTGGAAGATTACCTGTGTCCAAGGGTCTTGTGTTCTTAGGATGAAGGAGATTATATTCACTGAATACGTTTCTATTACCTAAACAGTAAAAAAGTTATTTTTTATTCCTTCTTCAAAATAAATTATTGTGCTTTTCATATCCCAGTAAAAACATATGAATGTTGTAAATGAGAAGAAAAAAATCAATAAAGTTCTAGTATCTAACAAGGGTGCTGTCAGTGCTGAGTTGGTATAGAATTATCCAGAAGGGGAGGGTTATATGTGAATTTTCTTAAGTACTGGTGCGAGGTCCCCTTTTCCTAGAGACTCCACTGAACAGGTAAGAAGGCTCGGAGCTGTTGGGCTGCGGCCTCTGAATTATTCTTGGGAAATTTATGGTTGAATTTTACTAGAAAGGATCTTCTTTGGTTTTCCTCACTCTTTTACCTTATCTCACTTCTCATAACTTAGGATGAAGCCAACCCCAATGCCTCCCAGGCTCTTGGCCAAAGACCAACATCAACTGCTGATTTAACAGTCAAGTTAGAATCCAGATCAGGCCAACAAGCCAGTGATGCAATATCCTTCTATAGACCGGTTTGTGCTTAGATGATAGCATTGAAACTAACCTATCTGTCAACCTCAGTAACTTGTAGGATCTTTCATTCATGTCCCAAATGAGTTCACTGGAGATCCTTTAACTAACAAGTGATTTTATGATGACTACTTACAAAAAGTTCATGTAATCTTCTTCTTCAAACACACAAAGAAAGTCAAGCGTCATCCCAAATCCATCTAGACTACAATTTTAAGTTAGGAATAATATTACATTTATCTCGGTATTCTCCACATAACACAGTGCTTTTAGGAAACTCTAAATAAATATCAGTTGAAAAAAATAAGTGGAAGGTATTAATGGATTTACATTTGCAAAATAAGCAGAAACACACTTTGTTTTTTTTGTTTTGTTTTTTTTTGCGTTTGTTCCCCTCTAAACTCTAGTTCACCATTGGAGATTTTTAGTCTAGTTGCTTTCTTTTAGGTGATAGACTCAAATTTTGATCCTAATATGTTAACATTAGAAAAAAAATATTTNCACCATTGGAGATTTTTAGTCTAATTGCTTTCTTTTAGGTGATAGGCTCAAATTTTGATCCTAATATGTTAACATTAGAAAAAAAATATTTTTAAGTCCAAATGACTTTGGGAAGATTTTCCTAGAAAAGAGAGACATATCCAATTTTCCTAATTACTGACCTGAGGTTCCCTTTTCCTGGAGACTCATTCCTACCATTTGTTCCCATTGCTCATCTTAACTCAGCAGGTATTCTTTTAAAAACAATACATAAAGATGGTTCTAGAACTAGGATGCTGTGTTTGAGAAAAAGTTATTATAGAAAGTATCAAAAGACTAGTATGCTGGATATTAAAATAATTACATGAGAATATTTTTTAAGTTTATTTACAATTTTTGACCCAAGGACCTACCTATAAGCTTTGAATGTTTGTGTTTCTTTTTATGATACCAATTTATGTGCAAAGAGTTACCTTCCACTTAATATAAATAAAGTCTCATATTAGAAATTCCATGGAATTCAAGCCAATCCTTACTTGCATTCCTTAATATGCAGTATACGAACTGGACAACTTCCCCTGCGTAGCAAATGTGATATCACATGTAGATAACATGCTGGCCCTGTCACCATAATCCCTGGGTTCCAAAGTCCTAATATGCTTGGTTTGGTATTTCCACAGGCTTTCTTTCTCTTAGCACTTTTTAAAAAATGTACTTTAGTTGTTTTGCTGGTTGCTTCCATATTGCTTCATTCAAAATCCAAAATGGAGTTCAGAAAGAACAAATAAAATTACAGTCTAAGTGCAAACTACATTTCTGAGTATCTGCCAGGTAGACATACCCAATCCAGTGTGTTTCTTCCAGTTCAATGGATTCCACATTGGATTACCCCTGAAAATGTCAGTAGTTTTCATGAGCCACACAGAACTGTCTCTTTGTTTCCCTTCTTTTTTAACATCACCAACTGCCTCTCAAGTACTGTCATTTATGGAGGAAAAAACACTGAGGGGTGTAAAGGAATGCAGGGCTACAGAGTCAACGGTGTAAGACACAAAAGTTGGATCTGATGCTACATTTGACTAATATCTTGGCCTCCCTTTCTAATTTTAAAGACTGTGTATTTAAAATAGTGGCCATTTCACTATATTAAAATCTTCTTTTAAATTTCTGTCCATTTATAGCGACACAGAAGAAGCTCTGATGTAAAAATTCTTTGCAATTAGAAATTAAAGCCAAAAGTCGGGAAGAAAGTAACATAACGGGAGGGTAAGAACAGAGCACAACGAAACAAAACCAGGACAGAAAAAAAACAAACAGAAACGAGAAAGCCCTCCAAAGATAATTACTAGTTATAATTTTGATGTCGTTTCAAAAATTCTGAAAGCTGCGTTAGTCATCCTGGCTTGTCAGGATAGAAACAGCTGGAGAAGGAAGCAGGATTCTCCCTCTGTGACTATCACACGTTCGAGAAAAGATGCCCCTTTTATCTGTTCCAGTGGAAAGCTCATGAAGGCTTCCAGGGGCGCTGAAACTGTCCACATCGGTTCCTGCGCACAGGGACAGACGGCGTGGGTCTTTCAAGACTCTGCATTTGAAAGAAACAGAAAGAAATTTAAGAGAAGGAAAAGAATTTGAAAACGAGTTTGACAGCAGGCAGCGCTGCCCCGTATGGGCCGGTTCCCTGGCCGCTCCTGCCTCCTGCCGGCCCACGCAGGGCCGTGAAGACACAGGGTGGCCCTTCCCGTGCTCCGCCTTCAGTCCTTCCTTCTGGGGTTCAAGTCAGGCGAGCACAGGACTCTCCTCGCCTCTCCGGGCCTTCCCCTGGGGGGTTTCCAAGCTCCTGGCCTCGGGAGCAGGAGGAGGGCCTGCAGGGAAAGGAAGGTGGCGGGGAAGCCGAGAGGGCGTCTGTCCCCTTTGGAGCCACCGCCGGGCTCAGACCACAGTGTTTCGGTGCCTGTAGGGTGGAGGGGGCAATACAGGGCCTGGCTTCAGCGAGAACTCGGAGAGGTACTCGGGGTTCTCTGCCACGAGGGGCCGGATCCGTCCGTTCTGTTTATAAAAGTACTTTGTGCTGCACTCCTGCCGGCAGTCCGGGTGCTGCAGGCTGCTCCGGGCCGGCAGGCTGTGGTTCCAGTAGTCGGGGTTGTCGAAGGCCCTCCTGGCCCGGCCGGCCGCGGGCAGGGCGCTGCCCCTCAGGAGCCCGGCGCTGCCCGCCGCCTGGGCGAAGGCGTTGAGGTACAGGGGCTCCTTCCCGTGCTCCTCCTCCACCTTGGGGGCACCGGGGGCGGCACTGTGGTACTCGGGGTTATCCAGAGCTTGAAGGTCCCCGTTTTTCCTCCGGGAAACGAAAGGGTTCTCCTCCACAGGGTTCAGGTATTCTGAGGGGACACGAGAACATCAGTTAGCATCGGCGGCCTGGAAAACGGTCAGCGGGCAAGGTTGTGCAGAACGCTCAGCTCCTTTGTTCAGAACAATCAAGCCACGGATTCTCACCAAACGCTTTTGTTGACTGCGACTGGCATACAAAAAGAGTAAATGGGTCAAAAGTGGTTAGGACAGAGCGAGGCGCCCACACTGTCCTGTCGCTTAGGTGGTTGTTTTTCCTTCTGCTCGCATCTGCCTCTCCTACACATGGGGCCAGTTATTTAAGTGCTTCTGTTTCCTAACAGTCAATAACTTATGTTGGAAGATAAGACAACCTATCGGAGTTAAATAGCCTTTAAATGTGGAGAAATCAGAGTTTTTTAAAGGATGCTGGAAAAATCAAAATGTCTATAGCTGAATTCCACTCCCAGATCAGTAGATGAAGTGAAAGGCTAGCACTGGTTTACTGAGGTGTTTGTCTAGATAACAAGGATTTGATTAGAGACGTTCTCCAGGGAGCTTTACACATAGGAAAGGAAACATCTAGGAAGAAAAAAACCCTCAACTCATAAAACAGATCTGGCAGACATCTCACATGCTTCTAAAAGGACTTGCTTGACAATACATATGCTTAACAATAAAGTATAACAATTTCCAATGGTTGACAAAAATCACAAAATAGCAAGCCATTAGCTTGAATCATATGAAATGTCACTTTTTTGTAGGTTGAAAATGGTCAATTAGTGTCTATTTTGTATGATTCAATCTAATCAATTGATCTAAAATAGGTACTGGCCCAGCATTTTTTTAAATGCTGCTAATTAATGTTTTCCTCAAGTCTAATCCCACCCCTCTATAAGATGACTCTATATAGACACGTATCCAAATACATAGTAGACCATATTTATGTCCTGTCTTTTAGTACAAAAATGACACTTCAGCCATTCCTATTTTGTTTGTTGAGACGTCACCATTCTGAAGCAAACTTTCTATCTTCCATGCTTAGCCTGACATACTGAGAGAAAAATCTCATCAATTCAGGGTTATTTCCCCCTGGATATAGGCCTACTGCATATAGTTAAGTATTTAGCATCGCATGCAAGTGAAGACAGAGTAATGAACATCTCATCATCATATACGTGAATTACGGTTCACAGCCTGCAAGGCACTCCCGTTTCATCCTTGCATCAACCCTGTGAAAGAGCAAGTGCAAGCTGTATCTTTCCAGCTTCATAGACAGAAGACTGGGATTCAATAATGTACCAAGGGTACGATTAGCAATTGCAGAACTGCTAGAATTCAGATCTTCTAACTCCTACTGAGTAATTCTCTTGTTCTACTGCACTGTTTTCGTTATTGCCCCTGCAGGAGTAGGGTGAACTTCACCTTTGATAAAATGTTTTAATTTGAAAGGGGCTCAAAGCTACTGTCATTTTAAGAAAAATATGTAAGTAAATTTATAAGGAAACCAGAAATTGTTTCTTCTTACCACATTCCTGAACTTCTTAATTGAGAGTATAGGAATGTCTATACTAAAATGCTCTACTGTCTGAGAACTAAGCTCGAGTAGAACATCCTTCTAGAGAAATTTGGTCTCTTAGTGTCCAGAGGCAAAATCTGGGGATGCTCTACAGTAAGTCCATATGGCTGATTTGCCTTTCCCTTTGAAGATTTATGTTACCTTTTCTTAATTCAATCTACCTATGATCCTAATGCAAACCTGTGTAGCAGTTATACATAGAGGGGTAACTCTGTGGCTGAGTTGAGAATCTTCCCAGAGAATAGTCTACTTTCAGGGGGATCTGCCAAATCCTCTGAAAGCCTGTATTTGTGTCACTACTGGGTTACCATAAACATCATATATTATAACATAAACATATAAAAGGAATACTTCTCTATGTCTAGATGTATATATTTTAACAGGCTATTTACGATGTGTACTTAAGGGTCCCTAAATTGCATTTTATAAAAGTGAATATAGCCATATGTTACAGGACATAATGGGCACTCATACAGCGTCTTAAAATAGAGTTTACTGTTGACACTGAGGATGCTGAGACAGGATCATCAGTTTTTAACAGCAATCATCAATCTCCTCTTTTTTGTGATGCTGTTGATGTAGAAGGAAAGAGGCTTTTTCCAAATAGAACTGTTACTTGATTTGGGTGTTTAATATTTCTACCACTAACCTTGTATAATAGTCCCCCCTATTCCATGGGGGTACGTTCCAAGACCCCCAGTGGATGCCTGAAAGTGTGACCAGTACAGAGCCCTATATATACACTGTTTTTTCCTATATAAACATAACTTTTCACTTAAAGAAGGCATTTATGGCTTTTCTTTGGCATCCAAACTACTGGCATTACTACTCTTGCACTTTGCAGAAATTATTACATAAAATAAGGATTACTTGAGCACAAGCACTGTGATACAGAGACAGTTGACCTGATAACCTACAGGTACTAAGTGACGAATGAGTGGATAGTGTACACAGCATGGATCCTCATCCTGGGTGGGACAGAGCAGAGTGGCATGAGAGTTCCTCACACTACTCAGAACGGCACATGCTTTAAAACTTACAAATTGTTTACCTCTGAAATTTTCCATTTAATATTTTCAGACTGTGGTTCCCCATGGGTAACTAAAACTATGGAAAGCAAAACTGTGGATAAGAAGGAACTATTGTAATGTTATTGCTGTGCTTTGTAAAACCACACCCTGTGAATATTTTCAAGATGTGATAGTATACATATAAGTATATGCAGGATTAGAACTTTAATTTTTGAAATGTGTCATAGAAGAAATCATAATCTCCTGTAATAACAAACTAGGTCATTTTAATGACACCATTTTAATGAATCAACCAAACCTTTTATTGGTGTCATTAAAAGCCTTGGACACTTTGGCCAACAATACCAGTCTTTACGATCTGCACAAGAAGTGCAATAAAACAATAGTTCTGAAAGCTTATGATACACTATCTCTTTCAAATATTCCAACAAAGGTACGTTTAGGTTAGTGCTTCTCAGACTTGATCGTGTTAAAAAATACCTGGGGATCTTGTTAAAATTCAGGCTCCTATCCAGTGGGGCCCGAGATTCTGATTTGTAAAAAGCCCATAACTGCTGTGGATGCTGCTGGTTCAGACAGTGTGACCTGAATGGCAGCAGCTGAGGTCTTTTCTGGGTCACAGATGTTGCATAGTCCAGTGGTTTGGCAATATCCCCTCTATACTTTGCTTATTTTGATGGATGTGAATGTAGACTAGCAATCATTTCTGAACATCCTGTTTGTACCTTGTTTGGGTTTGTCTCGCATAGGGGTCATGTAACCTTCTTCATCCAGCTCTCCTCTTGGGCTCCTTTCTGGGGCAAACACTGTGGGGTCGGCGCTGTACCTCTGGGTGCTGCTGTCCTCTTGGACGTGGGGTGCCACTGGCTTGCGGAGGGTGCCATTGCAGCAGGAGTCATCAAAAATCTCAGCTGTGGCCCCCTGAGCAACTGGAGCTTCTGGGATGGTGCTGGTCGTAGCTCTGTAGGGCACAGGCACACCCTGCTCTGCTGCAAAACCCCCATCTCGGTACACGAACTGGTTCTGTCAACAGCAGAGACACGTGTGGACAACAGGTATTGTTAGGAACAGTTGTAAAAAAATGAATGTTAAAAACCAAAGGATATGGAAGCTTGTCTTTCAAGAAATGTCAGTTTTCTTTTTTAATTGACCTTATTTTCACTACTGGCTAATGGGTTTGATTTATAGACTAAAAACAGCCCAAATTCCAATTTTTCTTAAAAATTAAATCATGGAAAACAATTTGAAACTATATACAGTATTTTAATTTTACTAAGCACCTACCACATGATCTAATAAAACGTATTTCACTTCCTCCCCCCCCCATTGCCCATTTTTGATATAAAATTCCAAGTGAATTTTCATGACAAGTAGCAACATCACTAATTATAGACAGTTGCCATTAAGAACAGAAGCACGGTGATGCCATTTGGGTGATGACAGTTCCTTACTGCATTCTGTTCTGTAGTTACCAGGACTTTGAGTCTTCAGTACCTAACTGGACAATCACCACTGAGATTCTGACTTTATATCGAAAACCTATAACCGTAGAAGTAAAATTAGCCTTCTCACCTAGAAGCACAAATTTTGAGCCCAGGTAAAAATCAAAAGCTACTACTAATGTGTGATATCTCAATTTTGGATTATCTATGGAAACAAAATATATCTACAAAAGCAGCTAGACAGTCTACAGCAAATTCTTAACTCACTGTTGGCAAAGGGGAAATGAGGAAATTATGGGGAAACGAGAGAGGAAACATGGTAAGCAAAGACCAAAAATCCTAAAAGATGAAGGTTGATTGTGAAATACTTACTCCTGACATGGGGGTGTAGGCGGGAGGAGGGCTGTGTCCAATTTCACTCTAATAGGAAAGAAAAATGGAATGATGGATATAATAAAAGGTAATATGAATGGGGGAAAAAAAGAAAGAAAAAAGAAAAGCCACACGAGTTGTATGAACCAGAGAGGAAACCATGCACAACAGTGAAGTTTGCTAAACAGTAAAATTTTATGCACTCTGACTGCAAGTGAGCTTATGTATGTGTTTGAAGAGATTAAATATTTTAATTCAATCCCTGAAAAAAATAATTACATTTTAAAAAGTAAAAGTTTTAAGTGGATTAAAAATTAAGTTGACAATGGATATTCCTCTGATTAACTCTAGAAGAAAGGGAAAAACAGTAAATGATTAACTATAATTGTAAACAAGGACCAGTTTTCTTTGTTAATGTTAAGTGACGGAAGTGACCCCATACCATAGCATCAACTTTTCTTTTAGAAGAAGACACTTATCTCGAAGGAGATAGGAGTGGATTTCAAATTGCCTGGAATAATTTTTTTCTATCAACTTACATTTATTTTCCACCATTTTGGTAAAGGGTCAATTTCTTGAGCTCTCCTTTAAAAAGGTATATGCTATTCTCTCTTCAGTCTTAAATTTTTTTTAAGTTAAGAAACAGCAAAAAAATCTTGGAAAATCAATCTTTCCTGAAAACCTGATTTACATACATTTGTTCATTTATGTAGAATCAGTTAAAAAAGATGCACCCAGAGGTCATGGGTTCGATTCCAAGTCAGGGCACATTCCTGGGTTTCGGGCTTGATCCCCATTAGGGGGTGTGTAGGAGGCAGCCAATCAGTGTTTCTCTCTCTCTCCCTCTCCCTTCCTCTCTCTCTAAAATCAATAAAAAACATATTTAAAAACCCAAAATGATATCTATATTCTTACAGCTTAATACTCTATCCAGCCTTTGTGCTAAGTAAAAGTAGATATAAAAATATGATAGAACATTAAATACAATATTCCTTAGGATAAGCAGAGGGGGTTGTATGTAAAGCAAATCTGTTTCTTAATAAAAAAAAGACAAATTATTTATGCAAATTTATTCACCAAACACATTTTTGAGAACTTACTGTCTGTGTCCCAGGCACTTTTCTAAGCATTGGAATAATAGAGAAAATAAAAACAGTTGATTTTATAAAGCTTGTATTCTCTGCATTCTGTCTTTGAGTGAACAGAGATGACTGAAATAAACCAAGACAACAACCTCTTGAAACATCTACAAAATAGAGCTAAATATTATTCCAGGTCAATGCTTTCACAATTCATAAAACAATCTAAGAAGAATATGGCCTCATGGAGATGAACTGTTTAATGTAAATTAATAACTACTGGAGAGTGCAATTCCTTTAACTTAGTGTGTTGGACTAATCAAGGGACTAGTTCTAAACCTCTGAGTTCTGAACAGTGAGTTTACATTTCAAATTTCCCGATAACCGAATCACTTACAGGATGACATAGAAAACACTTATTTCTTCCCTTCTCTGGTAACATAACTTAAAAACATGGGAAGTTAGAGATATAGTTAAAATGCAGTGCATAAGAGGAGGTACTGTGCATCAAGAAGACAGGCTGTCTTATGATTTGCTAGAAGCTCTGAGCTCCAGTTCCAATTACGGTCAGTCATGAAATACCTCAGGCCCTCATTTTCATTTTTGGCCTCTCTACTTCCTTGTTAGTGTAGACAAAGTAAGTTAATGTTTATAAATGAACTCTGAAAACTCTGTACAAATGTAGAGAATATATAAAATTTAAATATTTACATCTGCTAAATCGGATTTTTAAAGTCAAGCAATTAAAATGGCAAAGCTACTCATCAAAGGGACATTTGAAAAAATGCTTACCTGTCCTCCACATCACCTTAACTATAAGTATATTTTGCTACCTTTTAGAAAGATATGAAATCAAATATATTGTTCATATAACTTGAGAAAGGAATTTTCTGTACAGTCCAGTGATATCTAAAGTAGAGGGATGGTATCAGAAATGTGACTATTGCCTGGTGGAACTTTATTATATTACAAGCCTTGGTTTTACCCTATCATCAAACCCTCAATATTTAGCAAGCATTTAACAAATATTTATTAATTCTCTACAATGAAAGCCCAGGAACTGTGGTCGATGCTGGAGGTATCACGATCCACTAAGAAGCATGGTCGCTGGTCTTTTGCAATTTACACTGTACTATCAAACATTACCTGAGGTTATTAGAAGAAAAGGTGAGAGGGAAATGAGGCCGGAGTGGATTTATTTCAATTCTATGACTACACATTACAAGATAAGGTAGAACGAAATATTAGTAATTAGCATTGTTCCTTTGACCTCTTACTTTGCAAGGGTTTCTGTACTAGGTGATGTCTGACTGGAATCAAGGCTGAGGGACCCGCCTCGGCTGCTGCACATTCCACATTTTATAAAACATGAAAGAGAGATGATCACAGGAATAGCTCACACGTCATCCTTCATCAGGAACTACTTTATTATCTATATTCATGACCTGGGCTAGACCGCCTTCGGTTGCAAAGGCGTTGTATTCAAAATAGCTGGGCCTCATGCCCCGCGTGGGTCCGGGCCAGGGAGAGAGGCGCGGCCCCATTAGAATGCACCCGCCGTCCCTGCCTTGACAAGTCCTGAGCAACCTGCCAGCGCCATCTGATAGCCTGCCAGACGCCAGCCCGGGAGGAGAGTCCTCGTGCTTTCTCCAGCTTTAAATGCTTTTGCGAGCACCAAGAGAATAGAAAAAACTGCTAAGCAAAGCCCCTTTGCCATTCTTCCTTTTTTAGGGTTACTGGCTGCTTTTTATGTTTCTGCTTCCAGTTTTTTCCATTTGTTTTTTTCCCCCCTGTTTTCCGTGATGAAAAGCACCTCATTCATTTCCCCCTGGAAGGGCAGTGCAGCTACAAGGGAACATCTGTGAGGCCAATTAGCTGGGCTGGGAATGTGATATAATTGTTGTTTTAATATATTTAAATTACATGTTAATCACTGTGTCATAATTTATAGGCTTTGAAAATAACTTTTTGTACTTGAGAGCCAAGCCAGATTTTACTTGTTTTTGCTGTTTTTCGTTTTTGCAACAAGCTCTTCTCGTTGCCTGCCACCCCCCGCCCTCCAATTCCCCACACTCGAAGAGCTGAACTTTAGTGCTGGAGAGAATGACAGCTGCAAGTAAATTGGTGGAGTAAAAATTAAGATCCCCACAGTCAGAGTGCGCTGGAGTGACCTTAGCATTCCAAGCAGAACAGAGCAGGGCTCTCAGTGAAAAGGCTTTTGTTTGCCCGCCGGGCCCCTCTCTGCCGTCCATGGGGCAGCTCTGCGCACCTTCAGGAGCAGCCCGGGCGCATCTGCTGTTAGCTGGCGAGGGCGTTTACTGCCAGCAGGGCGGGGAGGCAGGGAGGGGTTATGCACTGGCAGGTGATAGGCAGATTTTTTTTCCGGTGGCGGGATTTGTAAGGGTGATGGAGAGAGTCAAGTTTAATTTTGTTGCCATGTTGCTGGGACACTGTATGATTAACTTGTACTCAAATGCCAGAGGTTATAGAGAAGGCAAATGTCAGCAAATATATCAAATGCAGTGTTAAAGGCACTTTTACATACATCATGTCTTAAAATTTACTTTTCAGTTGAATGATCAAGATTTGAGCCTCTGTCTTACTAGATGCGCTGTGTTTCTCATATTTATTGTTTTCATTAAAATATTGTATTATTTAATATTGTTCCTGGGAAATTTTAAATTGTTAACAAGGTGAACTGTGTGTTATATTTTTAAAACGTATCATAGAAATCTATCTTCTTACAAAACAAACAAAAACACAAGCTTAATGCTTGACTTCTATCTAAATTAAGCATGTGCCTAACGAGAGGCAGTTCTTTTTAATCTTCAGATAATTGTTACTATCAATATTAACTATAGGATTAAAGTTTCTAGGGCCAAGAAACACTCCAAATCCTTTTAACTAAAATAGAACGTGTCTCCGTAAGATGTTGTTAATCCATCAGCATTAATTTATCATCTGAACACTTCCGCATAGTAACTATTAAGGGCGCTCTATTTTATTCTCTGACATACATTCTTAACACTCGGATGGGTATTTTTACATTTTCACAGGTCAGGTAGACGACAGATTAAATGTTTTTTGCATTACGTACAATTTCTGATGCATGACTCTTTTTCCCAACTGAGTTCAACCTATCAGTGTCTGAGACATCTAGATTTAGAATCTTCATTTTTCATAGAACCAGAAGAAAACAAACAAAATATGTCCATATACCAAACACCAGTAAGGACTGGGATAAGCCTATTGACCCTAGGCAGCTGGCTTACACACACACATATGCTATACAAACACATATACGAAATGGCCTTTGTCCATTTATTTGTGTTTATTTATTAATGTATTTATCTATTTGGTTTGAGTATGTGGAATACTTACTTTTTTTTAAAAGCAACTAGGTTTTTACTCTACACACAAAAATATAAGTAAATTAATTATATATAAATAAAATACATAATGATATAACATTGTAATAAATAAACAGATAATAATGACCTTATGATCCAGCTGAAGAAATATTAACTTGGGCTCTTACCCTTTGTTCAATTTTCACTAATCCTAGAACATTTAATTTTTCACAGATGTCTCATCTATTCTATTACAGAAAATTATTTTTAATAACGGAAAGCTGTGAAATGCATCAGTAAATATAAATGGGAGTTAATGGATTTTACAAGTTATATGAACATAGTGCCTTTTATAAACATTGACAATTCTACTTTAAGTCTGTTCTTGAAGTCCCCTTAGTTATAATGTCCATTCTTAAGAAAATTGATAAATAGGAAGGGAAACTAACATGTATCATGTACCTACCAGATGGCACAGACTATTTTAGATTTTATTAATTTTTCTGAAGTCTGAAGGTCACTATCATGATTAAAACTTATGAGTCCCATTTTACGGATGAGAAAACTGAGGGTCGGGAAGGTTAAAAGTTCTTCCCATGTACACACAGCCACAGGTGGC